TGTGTGTGTGTGTGTGTGTGGATTTGGAGAGTGTGGGGGGTTATAACTTCGGGAGCTCAGGGCTTTAGAGGAGGAGTGACTGGCTCTTATTTGTCTCTTATAGCTTCAACCTCTCCGTCTCCTCTTTCTCTCCGTCCCTTCTTTTTAAAGATAATTAACATTTTTTCTACTGTCTCTCTCTCTCTCTCTCTCTCTCTCTCTCTCTCTCTTCCCCGACACTAACATGCTGTGACTTGAAGGTGTGACGTGTGCATGTGACAAGTAAAGGCTGCATGCAGTGCCTTTCCTGTTTGAAGAAAAATATAGTTGTTCTAAGCAAGACAATATGTGAGACATAACTCACTAAGCTAGGACGATATGGCAAAATGTTCCCCTGGGAATACTTATCATCATAATTATCAGGATAAATGTGACACTACTATTTATTCTATCTAATTTTTGCACCTGATTGACGGTTGTGTGAAAATATGTGTTATACTTTACGTGTTATACCTCCTTACTGTGCTTGTACAGTCCATAAGAAATATATTGATATATATGTGTTGCTGTTTTATTGCCCTGCCCTGTAACTTGGGCTGACCGTGTGTACAGTTACTGATTATTGAATTATATAACAACATTCTCTGCCCGTTCAGGGATGTGTTATTTTGCATTTGTAAGTAAATTAAGTAAATTACAGAAAAATAAAGTAAATATAACAAAGTTACATGAAAGTAAATTTGTGTTTTCCCCGTACACCATTTTAAAATGAAGCTTTATCTTCAAACCTTAATGGTTTCCTTTAGACAAACAGTTTGAACAACCTTATAATAACAAGGTCATAAATTAAATTCATTCCTTGACTTAACTCTTACAGTCTTTCTGTAGAGTTTATGAGAAGCTTCCGTAAATGTCTTCATTACAGTTAGACACACCTTCTATTTGATTTAGACCACACTTGAATTAAAAGACAGTAGAGTGGAGCGTTCATTTTTATGTGGAGTGCATTCTCTGTGTAGTGAGGTCCACTCCAGCAGGCCCCTCAGCTGCCTGCTCCAGATGTTAGATCAGCCCTGAAATCTTTCGAATGCATGTGTAATTAATTTTAATGTGGCAAAATCAGCCCAATTATTGACAGAAGTTTCCAATGTGATTCTGATTGCATCTCTAATGCAGAAATCCCTGTGGCAGTTTATTGGATTAGTAAGTTTTGGTGTTTAAAGCTCCTTTAAAGTGCAATAGAGTCAAGAGGGTGTGTAAAGCATGTATTGTTTTCACATTTGCACCGACTGTTGTTTTTAAAGTATTTATCCTGTATTTTACACTAATGGAAAATAAGAATTTGAGACAAAGAGGTTGATTCACATATCATTCTTAATATAATAGGGAAGGACTGGATGATATCAAACAATACAAATTTTTTGAATAGTAATAATATAATAAAAGTTGGATACATATAATGCTTTTGTATTGTTTTAATGTTCTACCTCAGATTTGAAAGTGTTTGTCTTAAAAACAGTAAAGAATAGTAATTTGAGATACTTATCAATATAGACAGATTACATGTTTTAACACACGTAAGAGCATATGCGACAGGGCGGCCTATGGTTTTCGCTCAAGGTATGACTTGTCTTCTGGCCTTTTTTTTCAGACCTGGTGGCATCTCACTTATCAAAAAAGCGCCTATGTAAGAATCGTGAGATAACCAAAACATGTTCCTCTTTGTTGAGGAGCTTTAACATGTTTTCAACTAATGCTGGACTCTTGTGAATCCATGTAATGGAGAGAACTCAGCATGCAAACTTTCCTGTTCCTCCTTCGCTGTATATGCTTTGGTTTATATTGCCTCAGCTTTAGCTCTTGAGGTTGCTTTGTTTAATCCACTTTCTATGAAAGTGTTAAGAATAAACAAGTGGATTCATGAGTTGGACCCACAGAAAGGTAGAGCTCAGATTTATGCTGGGATGAAAATAGGGAATCTGTAATAGTTTATGTGACTGTTTAACACTATGAGGAGTGTGAGCATGAAGGTTTGGTGCGGGGGCAGCACAGCAACAGTTTCAAAAAAAAAAAAAAAAAAGTAATTTCTTTCTATCAGCATCAAGCTGAAAATTGCCATGTATTAGTATTAGGCTTGGTAAGCTTCTAATTCTGTGGCATTTACAGCCGGCTGTGTTTCCATGCATTTATAACACTTTGATTCTTAAGAGCTCCTTTAATCGCTTATGCCTAGCTCGGAACATAATAAACAACTCGCCGTAGCAAAAGTGCCACATGGGGGAGATTTCTAGCAAGAAAGTTAAACACCTCTGTCACTGGCAGTTTTGTTGCTGTGTTTTTCATGCACTGTAAGTGCCGTAATCTACTTGCTGAGCTCGGCTGCTGTAGTTAAAAACAGTGACAGGCACAGTAGATGCAAGGCAGCGTGAAAGTGAATAATTATCGCACCTACAAATACGTCACAATGGAGGCGTAGGCAGAGACATGAAGCGACGGCATGCTCGAGGCTTTTCCTGTTGATTGAGATCACAGGGTGTGTTCAAGCCTTCTAAACACCCTCACCTGGCTGCAGTCAGCTCACTGTATCTGATGCTCTGCTCCTGTGGCCACATCAGCAGCTATCAGAGGACACTGTGCACATTGCCTGCCTCTGTGTTGTCCTTCTAAACAGGCTGCACTGTTAAATGTGTGCCTCATGCTTGCAGTCACACAATGGACCAACACTCTTACTCTCTCTTGCATCTCTCCCTAGTTTGATGTGAAATCCTCTGTCGAGGTAGAGTGAAAGCGTTATCACTGATGCGTTATCCTGAAGCTACTTAAAATGTCCTTTTTTCAAGGGGAAATGCGTTTGGCAAGTTTCAATCTATTTTTCTATCAGCGTCACACAGACATGTCTCCTTTTGGCGTTGAACATATTGACGGATGTCTAAACTCTGGTCTGGCCCGGGAGAGTGAGGAACTTGGATAATGTCGGCCTCGCTACCAGGTGCAGACGGCTAATGTGACACAGTCTGTGTGTGAGATTGACTGAGATGACCAAAGTAAGCAAATTCCATCGGCAGATGAATTGTCTTAAAACAAGATGAAAAGAAAATCACAAAAATGAGAAAAAAAAAATTCAGGGGCCTGTTTTTTAGCTCCGGCCTTGTGTCTTTGCCTGAGAAAAGAGGAAATAAAACCAATAACTTGGATTGATTTATTTTCTCCACAATAAAATGACTTTACAGATAAAAATTTTTGGTAACCTTGGTCAACACTGCAAACAATATACTGCACTATAACTAGGAGAGTATTACACTTATGGAGGTAACTTATGGACTTACCCCCCCCCCCCAAAAAAAAAAAAAAGAAAAGGAGAACAAAAAACAAAAAGTATACGTTTATATATTATGGCATATTTAAAGTTTATGGTTTCCTGTTTGATCATTAGACTCTATGACTCTGTAAGGAAATTCAAAAAACTTCCCTAAATGCCGCAGTGATTCTTATTTGGATAGTTTTGACTTTGTTGCAATCATTTCATGTCATGGTAAATATCACTTTGGCAGTCCTTTGCTTTCTGCGTTTATTTTTGAAAACAAATCCCTTTTAGGGATAAAGCACCTGGTGGGGCTACTTAATGGAATGGCTTCAGCCCTGTGCAAATAAACAGCTTGCATTTTTTGCTGTGAGATTAGGAATGAGGCTGACGGAGGAAGAGAGATGAAGAGTGAGGGAGCGAGAGAGAGCTGGAAAGAACCAAACAAAGAAAGTCAACACGTAGAGAGGACTGGAGTGGACGACTTGTATGTCTACTTCTGCTTCCTCCTTGTGCTTCACAGTGTATGTCTATAGAAATGCATTCCTGGGCCGGACTTTCCTTTTTCAGCCTCATACTGAGGTAAAGCTGTTTTTTTAATAGTTGACCAGTGAGTCAGTCGGAGTTATTCATGAGGGATGGAAAATATCTTTGTCTTGCACATGTGCACATACAAAAAACATGTGCTTATGTCTTTTCTTAACCTGAGAAAAGATCATGTGGTCCCCAGAGCCGAGCAAAATAGAATGAAGAGGATAAGTGATCGGTGAAACATAAACAGAATGAAGGCCATTTTAAACAGCTCATCATGCTGTTGACATTAATGAGAATGAGACAGACTCTCCTTCTGTTAAACATTGTCTTTACAAGCAGATTATTACAAACAATGGATACGTTGACTTGCTATGTGACCTCTAGTGGCCTTAGTTATTATGATGGGAGTTAAGGAGAAAGGTGATGTCATATATAGAGTTGAGCAAGACCGACTTATGGGTTAGCTCTCAATTGGCCAACATGAGCCTTTCCCAAACAAGTTGGTACCATCATTAATGTTTACCTTTT